ACTGCCACTGGGGGGCACCCAGTGAGGACAGGGCCCAAGACACAGGCAGGGCCGGGACCGGGTGGACAGCCAGGAGGTCTCACAGAGGGAGGGGCAGGGCCCCCACACCAGAGGGGACGCTCAGTGTGTCGCCTTCCATCAGGGGCCAGCCCTGCCCTGTTCCGAATCCCCCTCCACAGCAGCCTGTGAGTCCAGCGCCTACTGGAGCCACCCGGCCTACTCTTCTGACAGCTGGTGCCAGGCACCCGTTCCTGCTGTTCTGAGTCATGACAATTTCAACCTAAAATTTCTGTAACAGTAAAATGCCAGAGCAAGGAGAGAGAAGGGCGACTGGAACAAACAGCTTTAGTAAACCAGCCAACCCATTATACATGCCCAAAACTTGCTGCAAGGGAGGCAATTCGCAATTCTCCCTGGAATATGACTGAGGGGCCCTGCTTTGCTGTAGAAGGAGGCACAATACGGTCAGTTCTCAGGGCTGGTAGAGCTGGGAAGTTGTCGCTCTGCTGGGTCCGCTCAGCCAGCCTGGTTTTGCACCCACAGAAATGCAAAGCTAGCTGAACTCACCTTCTCCAAGAGTCCCCCAAACATTTAAAAACTGTTCTCTCTCTGAAATCTTCCCTTCACCCAGCTAGAAACCCTCAGTCCCTGCCCCATCCTGGCTGCCTTTCCCCAGCACATACCCTGGTGTGGCTTGGTTCCTTGGCAGGATGGACGCAGCCACCCACACTGAGTGCCCAGTCACAGCCTGAGCACCGTCACCTCCTGCAGTGGATGGAGCTGTGCCCCTCACCAAATTCCTCTGTTGAAGCCGTGACCCCAAGGTGCCGGTATTTAGAGACAGGGCTTTTGGGAGAGAGTTAGGGCAAGATGAGTTTGTGAGGCAGGCGTCCCTCACCGTGCTCTGAAGCTGAAAGGTGAGCCCCGTGCTTCTGCTCGGCCTCCCACAGAGGGTCCTACAGAAAAGCTGATGTTCCCTGAAAACGCACATCTGCTGTTTCGTGTTGTCCCAGGCCCTGTCTGTTGTCCCAGGCCCAGGAACACGCATCTTCCTCGGGTCTCCTGTCCAAAGACAAACTCTCCTGTGCCCAGCTCTCCACCGCGCCATTCCCGAGGTTCTGTGCTGGCCGTTAGGAGGAAGGTTGGGACAGCCTCAATGTTTGTGCTTCTTATTTCCCCCTCCACGTTTTCATGCTGCTCCCCCCCGGTCAGCTGTGGTCGCCTCCGTCCCCTCGCGAGGAGGTTCAGGCTGCCAGATCAGGCTGGACGCATTCACAGCACCCTCACAATCAGCAAGCAGCCAGAGCAGGGGTTTCTCAGACCCCCCTATGACAGGGACCGGGTCCCACACTTCTCCAAGGGCAGGAGCTGAGCGCTACTCGCTGGAGACAGGTGCCAAGTGTCAGCGATGACCTTGGATTTGCATTAACGTCTGGCCGTGCAATTTAGGGATGGCTAAAAGCCAAATGCTCTCAACTCACTCTCAGGTTTTAACTTGTCTGCAACAGCAGGATGCATGCCTCCTGCAGCTGATGGACTGAACCACTAATGAGTCTTTCTCGAAGGTAGGAGGAGCACGCCTCACCAAGAGCATCTGTGCCCCAGGGGCTTCTCCTCCACCGTCTCCTGGGCCTCACCATCCCGCTCTACTTGTCAGCCTGGGGACCTGGCCTCATCGTCCAGGGAGGAGCTGTCTGGGTGGGAAGGCAGGAAGACGGGGTCTGCAGGTCACTTCTCTCTCCCCATTAACTGTCCTTGAACAGCTTCACATCTCATCTCGCAGGGGTCTCAGGGAGAAATAATTCGCAGGTGGGGAGGAGGCCCCTTGCACCCTCCTTATCTTTTCCAGGTGGAAGCTTCTTAGCAAATAGTTAACTGTTCGTTCAGGTGAAGGAACACAATCTGCCTCTGCCACGTCGCTCCACAGCCCCTGTGGTGCTCGGGCTTTTTCATGGGCAGGTGATGTTCCCAGGGCTGGGACTTTGGTTTTCTTTCCCATGCTCTGACGCCGCCCCTCTCCAGGTGGGGACTCGGTGGGGGTCCCGGGATTCTGCTCATTTTTCCATCTTTCAGAAATAAGTTAGAATACTCCCAGGTAGACTGTGTGCCAGGAAAGCACATCCACACGTACATGATGGTTCCTAGCAGCACCATTTATTAGGGCTGAATTACATCCTCCAGAATTCCGACGATGGAGCCCTAACCCCAGTGTGACTCCTACTAGAAGCAGGGTCTTTAAAGAGGTCACACAGGTGGGCCCTGGTCCAACAGGAATGTGGCTTTACACAAAGAGAAAGAGAGGCCAGGATTGTGCGTGCACGGAGGAAGGCCACGGGAGACAGCAGGAAGACGCCGCCTGTAAGCCCCGG